TTAATGATTCTATGATTCTATGATCTAAATGCCTTATAGATGTTTTGATAGTTAATCAATTATTTTAGACTGTTAGATAAGTAAGGAGGCTGCTTATAACCATGGCTTGTAACCATCAAAGCCACTTTATTTTGGCTGGTTTTATTCGCACTTCAGTGTCAGTATGTTGCAGATAGGCTAACGTTTATTAATGATTTATTAACCTGGTAGAAACCATCTGTAAATGCAAGCTTTGTGCAAAGTGAGACCATTTCTTTTCTGATTTGTGCTTTCCTTCTCCTACTGAGAGAGGTCTGCTTGAGGCAGCTGGCATAACTGATGGGGAAGAAGCAGTGTTTCTTCTCTGTACTACACTGAGCTTAGAGCTAAGAGGAGGACTTCATTTTTCTTGTCTTGTCAGTAACTTTATCCTTTGCAGTTTTACTGTTCCTGAAATAATAAAGTCAGTCTGGAGCCAAAGGAAAGCCCTTCTCAATTCTCAGGAAAGCACAAGGATGAAGTAACCTTGGTCTTTCCCAAGCTAGTGAGCAAACGCTTTCTGCTGCTGATTTTCCCCGGCTGGGACAGCAGAAGCATCTCCCACAAATAAAACTCTGTCCTGGAAGTTACAACAATGATACTCTGCACCAGAGTCCATAATGAAGATCTGTTGCGGTAGTATTGGCTAAGGGGAGATGAGCCCAGGAGACGAGCCGTTGGTTTTCTGCGTGGAATTTGCCAAAGCAAGATTACTTCTCATGTTCCAGTGGGAGTCTGCCCTTTCTAAACTTTGATTTCATAACAAACTATGTAAAAATTATGTAAGCCTCCTTTTAACTCCTTCCCTCCTCCTCTGCAATCTAATGAATAAAATGTCATCGTGTATGCAAAACAATGCTACTACCGTTCAGGAGCAGAAATGTACTCTAGCATCACATCTGTAACGAGGCAGAAGACTTTTCCAGGTTCTTCCTCTCCATATCTCATTTAGAAAATAAAAAAAACCTTTTTTCTTATGTGCCTTCACTAACGTGCAAGAGTTAAGTGAATAGGCAAGGTAGTGCTTACAAGGTAGAGCCCTGCGGAAATTTTTTTTTGGGCCAAATTCTGGCTAATTTTTGAATTCAAAATCTTGTTGGATTGTAATAAGAACATACGTGATGAGTTGTTGCAGATGGGCTGTTTCACTGCGGCTGAGTGTTCCTAGGTCCCACCGATTGCCACCAGGACTTTAGGACACTCAGCATCTTTTGATGTCAAGAACCAGTGGAGGAAATCATAGGAAGGAGTTCTACCTCTTTACTCTCTGCTGCATCGAAACAAAGGGAAGAACACTTCTGCAGTTTCATGGTTTGCCATTTCTTCATTAGGTGATTCTTTTAGTCCTTACTGCTTTATGTTGGAGCGTTTTAGAATACTTTAGAGACACAAGGAATAATGGGAATAATTTATTTTATGCCAAGAATTGTTTGATAAATTTTTCTCAAATCTGTTGGCTCACTACAATCTAAAAATCCCAAGAAATATACAGAAAGATCTGTGAGAAGTAGTATCATTATTTCAAGGGCCTTCTCAGTCTTAGGGCCAATAGATTTATTATCATTTAAGCCTGACATACAGATCTAATCGTGAGACCTGTTCCTCACATGAATGCTCCTTATGCTCCTGGCTACTTATGTTGCCTTCCATGGGACTATTTTTGTGTTAGATTTACAGAGCTGATCTTTAATGGGTAGCAATCTGTCCTTATTACAGTGAGGAAAAACAGGTGAAATACTGAGTTATGTGATGGCAGAATCTGGACCAGTTCATACTGAGAGCAAAGTTAGTTATTTTTCTTTTTAAACAAAGAAACCAATATAGACACACTATTTGGAGGGAGTTTTTTTGGTTTTAATTCTCAGTATATTTGACCTTCAAAAGGACATGTAACAATGCAATTCAGAGGTGTGCTGCCTACAAGCTCAGCTCCTTGTTGTGTCTGTGCAGCTGAGAAAACGTGAAAACAATGAAGCAGATACTTTGAGTTCCCAATGAGAAAAAAGAAAACTGGCAGCCTTTTCTTGGTATATTGTTAAATATCTCTATTTAAATGCAAATGATCATCTGACACTGCCAAAGTCATGTACCAGGAAGCAGGCGTGCAAGTTAAAAAAAATTTTTTAATTATTTTTGAAGATGCTGCATTACTTTTATTTCCAGGAGGAGTAGGTTGGCTGAATACATTTTTGGTTGTGTACCAAGGGTCGGATCAGCACCTAGGAGTTTCAAATACGAAGATTTTCACGTATAGCTTTTGCAGAAGTGTAGGCGATCACTCTAGTTAGAGATCACTTGGAGGGGTGCTTGAAGTTTTTTCTGTGTTATCTCATTGCACGTACTGCAGTGGAAAGCCCAGTGCATACAATATGTTTGTAAGGGGGTAGAATCCAGGGACAGAAAGAGGAAGAAACAGCCAAGCTGGTGCCTTGTTCTGCCTCAGGAATGTGTGGTTACAAGTGATCTGTGCAGTGCTTTCTACTGCAGCTAGCTGCAAGACTTCTGGCTTTCTCCCTAAACTCCGGACCCCTCAAGCTAGACAGGCATGAGATTTGACCACAAGGAAGAATCGGGCCTAAAATAGGGTCTTGCAAGAGGAGGCTCTGTTGTCCATGGGTTGTGGTTCCTCCCTAGCTGCCCCCAGCAGGGATGCTCCTGCTCAGGTGAGGACCAAGCAAAGCAAGTGGTGAAAAGGTTATTCGAATGGGCATCCGGTGCCCTAGCCTTTCTCCTTCCCACTTCTTCTGTTGGTCAGGGATAGCTAGTTTATAAAACCCACTTCCTGGGGATCATTTTTATTCAGTTGGGTGAGCACCAAAGCCAACAAACAAACTGTATCTTACTGAGTCTCCTCTGTTAAAATTCTTCTTTTAATTTGCTGTTTACCTCACCTTCGTTTTAAACTTCCATTCTTATAAATCAATATGGATGTATTTGTTTTCTGCATAGGGTTCCAGTAGTCTCTTAATAATCATAATAATCGTTATTACTGATTAAATTTGCATTATTCATGCCAGATGGAGTCCCCTCCCTGTCAGCCAGAATGAGTTTGCATTATGTAGTTATAGTACATTTGTGATCTAAATAAACAGATGGCAGAATGTGACAGCAAATTATGGGCTGGTGATGTCAGCAACAACGCTTCCCGAGTATAATTGCTTTAAATGAACATGAATGCGGTAAGGAGCTGGTAGTTTTAACAAGGTAGTTGGCATACAGTGTGGTAATTACCATACAACATCATCAATAGCGCGATGAATGCTGTGCGAGTGCCGAGGGAAGAACGCTAGCTTTGAAAAAGTAGTGACAGAAAGTCCAACTTTACACAACTATCACAGTGGTATACAGGATAACAGTGCTCAACTGTATAACGTCTTGTAGGTATAAGCACACTGCTAACAGCGGAGCAGTGTTTTCTTTTGGGGTGATCCAACCTTCGCTGAGAGACATTTTGCATTTTCTCCAACACCATCATCTCCCATCAGGGCGTGTGGGATGTATTTGATGTAGTGTAATGGAGCAGCGTTAACAGCAGCTGCTGTTAACACAGGATTGAAAGGTAAGCTGCTGGATCAGGTTCAAAGGGGAAATTTGCTTCATAGAATCTCAGCAGTATTCAGTGATGAATAAAAGTTTAATCAAAGACGAGGTTAGGTTCCTCTGGTCAAAAAAGCAGCGATAAGGACTGTGCATAGTCTTCAACAATGCTTACGTTGTGTTTCTCAGTTCATCCCTTCAGGCCTGGCTGGGTGTAAAGGGCTTGGCTGCCTACACCTCAGGCACTGCCACACCTGGGTTTTAGCAGCTGAGGCTCAGGGTGCAGTAAGGCGGGCTCTCTGTGTGTGCTCTGGGAGCATTCGGCATTCAGGAGGGAGAAGCACTAAGAGCAGAATGTGACTGAGCTCTGGCCACGTCTGGGTGGGAGCTGCAGAATGAGGTCTCTGTTGGCTCGCAGTCAGGACTGGCATGGGACTGTCCGAGTGTTTTCTCAAATAGCATAAGATGCAGCCAGAGGAGAACGTGCCAGTTCTTCTGCCTGCTTTCCATTTTCTCGCACAGTGGTCAGCATTTAGCCATGAAATGGAAGATGTGAACTCAACTCCTTCTTCAGTCTAAGCGGGTTTCAGTCACTAATTACTAGGTGGTTTATAAAAGCTACCATTGCTAAGTCTTCCTCCTCCATCTGTATTTTACAATGAAAGCACCTTTTCTCGAGGGACTAAACCTGTCAGCATGTGGAAGGGCAATGCAGAGCATCACCTCTAGGTTCTGAAGGAACAACCGCAGGCAACTACAGAACCAGCAGCCAGAAAAGGAAAGGTCCTGTAAGCTTCACTGTCGCTGGGGTGAAGTGATTGCACAGGGCACATTTCCTTTACCGTGGTATTGGACATGAAGACTATGCAAGCTTTTGGGGGTGAGGGGTGGCTTTTAATCAAAGGCATTGAGCCTATCGCCCCATTGTTCAGATGACATTGAACATGAGAGAGAGAGAGAGAGAGATACCCTCTCTAGCACAGCCATCTCTTCTCCTGTGGAGGAATGAGTGGGTCTTACATAGGACGTAGAGAGCAATTGTAATAGCTCTGGGTGATGAAATTGTTCCTCAGTCCTCCAAAGTTGTTGTTCTTTTTTTGTTTTAAAATGCCCCAGTCGTTATACATAGCAGAGAGGTATTTAGCGTATAAAGCACTTAGGTAAGTGCCATATTTCATATATGTTTGACACAATTCTGGCTATTTTTCTGGGCCTTTTTTGCAGGCACTCTTTCAACCTTGGTAAAGCATAAAAACCCTCCAAAGACAAGATGGACCCTCCTGTTCAGCAGTTGCTGTATGTTGAAGAAATGAAAGGAAGCCATGTTCCTAATCTCTCTCTCTTTCTGTCTGTCCTGCAGGTGGCCGATGCCACAAGTCCTGCACAGGCCGATGCTGGGGACCCACAGAGAATCACTGCCAGACCTGTAAGTATGCAAGACTCTGAGAAACAAAGGACTGAAAAATGATGTAACGGGCATCCTGCTTTTTTTTAATTGTGAAAGGATACTATAAATTCTGGTTTTAGTATAATTCTAAAATATTTGAATTTTTTTCCATGTGTCTTTACCAACAGATGATCTGCTTTCTTCCCACCCATGTGAATTTATGTTTTTCTTTCCTCCCTTGTGCTTTCTAAAAACGCTTAAGCTAACTTGAATTTTCTTTTCACTTCTTGGCGGCAACATGGAGCACGGCTCCTGAGAATATTGATGGTTATTTTGGAATACACTGAAATGAATACTGCAGGAACACAAAAAACTACAAGGCAGATTTGGAGATCTTTAATGACGGCCTGACGCTGCAAAGTTCCTAATGCCAAAATACTCTGTTAATTTCAGTGGGAGCCTGGGAATATTAGTTATCTTGCAGAATTGTTCTCTTTATAATAACTTCAGAATGTATTTGCGTTGTACTGAAAGAGAGAATAATAGGGTTTTTTATGAAGGAAGTAGTAAGTGAAGGGTTGTTCACAATGTCTGTCTGTCCTCTTGAATTTAGAGAGCATTAAAATGAATAAAAAAGAACTGTATTGAGAGAGTTTCTTCCTTGTGTGCTTTCAGCTCCTTCAGAAAGGCACTAAAGAGCTAGAAGTGCAGTCACAATATTAGCAAACATAAAAGAGGAGAAAATTGAGAGCTGTCTTTTCCTACAAGTTTTTTTCTTTTTTCTCCCCCCTTACGGGAATAGAGCTATCCTTTACATTTCCTTTCTTGGAAATTTAGGAGGGTGGCAATTGGTTGCGTTTACTGGAGTCACTCTTCCTAGGAAATGAAATGCTTGCTGATATCTCCCCCAGAGAGCCCTGCTCTAGCTTGTGCTTGTTTCCTTGGCTGAGTTGTAGATAGGAGGAAGGGATTGTGACAAATTAACCGCTATCAAGTGAGCACACCAACTAACTCTCTCAACTGATGATAGCCCAATGTCATCTGCCTTTTTTGTTGGAAGTATTAGGAACAGTGCAACTGTGCCTTTTTTTTTTCCTGACTGCTTGGAGCAAGAGATAAGAAGAAATTTGAAATGGCAGACAGCTTGACATGAACATTTTACGAGTGAGCACAAGCAGGAAATCCAAGCTGACCTCCTGTCCGTGGCAAAGCGAGGGGCACAGGCAACTGAGCTGCATGCCTGCAGAGGCTCTGCCACCCTGCCGGGCACTGCTTTTCGTTCAGGAGCATCAGCTAATGTTGCTGGCAAAACTGATTACAGTTACAGCTCTGCTAAAGTTAACATGTTCTTGTATTACTGTTTCATATTGAGCTTTATCTGCGGGTGTGATTAAAAATGCTTTAGGACAGGTTGCAGGAATAGCTGTATCACAAACCAGGTACAGTGATGCTAAGCAGATTCTTCTTTGAATCGAGCTAGTACATCTCCTTCCTTTGCTGGCAGTCTTTATGAAAGCCCCAAAGAAGTCAGTGCTCAGAAAGCCTCCTTACATCAAGGTTATGTGCTGAAGTAGATAATGGAAAGGGACTTAAACCCTAGCCGACCAAATTATTTTATATCATGGTTAGAATTAATTAATGCTGGTTCTTTCTCTGTCTTAACGAGAGGCCTGTTCATGTATTAAAACTAGTAACTCTATAAGAACCTATAAGGGGTAATTAATCCAAACTTGAGTAGACTTATTTAGGCCTTACGTGGTTAACTTATCCAAGAATGCTGTAAAACCTTGACAGGTACATTATATAAGGATGACATGATCCTGGCTCAGGTGTTGGCTCCAGCAGGCAGAGGCTCCAGCCTCATGTAACATTGGAAGCTCCAACTGGACTCTCTCTGGCTGCAGAAGTCCACGTGGCAGGATCAGCTCCCATGGTCTCAACCTCTACAAAGCACCACTGTCTGATAAGTGAACTGATTTGGTGGATTAATGTTGTAATGTTGTGATACCAGAGAGAAAAAAACTTATCTGCAGTGTTGTGAAGTCAGAAGCTTAGCAGAGCTGCACGGTAGGTTTGCTCCAGGAATGACAGCTATCTCTCTCTTCACAGTGACTGCCCTCTCAAATTCAAACAGTGGGGACAGGCTAAGGCACAACCATGGATTTAAAATAAGAAACTATGGGAAGACATATGCCATCTAAGTTCCAGGGAGATACACAGATCACACGTTTCTGATTTGAAATAGCTACTCCATGGCCTTTTACCTTCAAGCACACTCTGCAGCCTCCGATTGTCAGGGACAGGAGTTAATTTTATATCGTATACTTCCTCTTTGCCTCCCTGACCTCACTGCACCTTGGGTAAACAGCAGGATTTAAGGAAAAGACTGAATATTAGGCTGGCAACAGGCATTTCTTCACTGCACTTTCTCAAAATGTGGTTTTCTGCAAACTGTGTTTCAGGTATATGAGTAGGGACTACAAACATAAAAATGCAGGTGGTGCTGTGCTTTTGCTGCCTTCGTTTCTGACTTTAAAAAACATGCCTGGCTTTCAAGTTCATAAATGTTATTCTTAGATACAAGCCGGAGGTAGGATGAATGGTATCACAAACATAGCATATACCTTAACCTAGTCACCTTGGGGACGCACGTCTTTCAAACGCATGTAGGAAAACACTTCAGCAGTACTCATCCCAGTGTCAAACTATTTTGTTCCTAGAAACAACTCAGAGGCGCGTCTGCATTTTAATAATTTCTTTTTTTTTATGCAGTCACTGAAGCAAAAAATTCTAATGAGCCCCCCTCCCAAGATAAGATTTAAATTATTTTCCTGGGAAAGGATAAAAAATGAAAGATCGTAATCCACGTCTTTCATTTCAAATTACATATGGAAAAAAATCAAAATACTTTTGGTTTTTTTGCATGAATATCATCTACCTAGCTGCTTCTTATGTTGCCTTCCAGCAACGTCTCTCTGTACTTCCAACTCTATCTGAAACACTACCTGCATCTAACTCTGTCCTAATGTCTTTCTAAATGTGATGAGAAAACTTAACGTATTTAAAAAGACGATTAATAGGAAATTTAAAATAAGCTATTTTATTAGGAGGTAGAGAAGATGTAATTTCAGGGTACTGTTTTATGCAATTAACAATCCATTTTCCTTTTATAATTAAAATATTAGTAAATATTAATACTGAATATTTAAAAGCTAGATGGTATTCTTTGTTTCAGTGTCAGGAAAGGCTAATGTGGAAATACTTTAAAAAATAATCTATTTTTCAAAGAGTATTGGGCACCCACTAAATAGAATGTAAACCGCTTTAAAAAAACCACAAGAACAAACACTTTTGGAAGTTACTAATCAAATTGGAAAATCTATGGTTAGGTTGTTACTATTTTTGCTGTTGATGTCTGTTAAAATTTTGTTTGTTTTTTTTACTTTTCGTATGAAAAGAAATTGAAACTTTCACAAATTGAATACGTTATTTTATTAAAACGACAGATTATGCACTTTGTCCTAGAGGAATGTAACTGAAACAAAAGAGAAAAATCTAAATTAAAATATAGGCCTAACTAAGGGAATGTAAAAAAGGCAAATAGCCTTTAAATCAAACCCGAAACATAAACATTCAGCAAATGTAGAATGCTCCAGGACTACTGTGCATGTGTACAGGAGTTTGGCCTGAGCATAGTTGTATTTATACAGTCTTTGTGCAGCTGATGTTGCTGAGAAAAAGAAGGTGCTGATGCAGTAAGTACCCAATTAGAGCAGCAAAAGGCAAGCAGGAGCCTGGTGGGGGAGACAGAAAGAGCTGAACCAGCAGCTTAGATCAATCAGGGTAACCCAGCATTTTTGCTTGGAGCCAGCATCTTTAATACATCCTTGTATTTCTCTAATAACTTTGCATGTTCATAAGACTTTTTCATTGATTTCAGTTACTTCCCATTTTTTCCTTCATAGATTTATAGTGCCCTGACATAATTAAAGATTAAGGGAAACAATAACAGAGACTGATAAATTGCACACATATATGAAGTGCCCATTCCACCCCATCCCCAACACAGCTTCTTGCTATATCGCAGTGAAATACTAGTAGAGATTGACAGTGTTCTGTACTCCCCCAGAAACCCATCCCAACGCATGGCACGTTTTTTCAAGACCTTGGTGTTTGCCACGGTCCTTTGCTGTCCCGGCCCCAACTGTGAGAGTTCTGTGCAGCCGAACCCTCAGATTTCTTGGGATTCCACAAAGGGTTAGTAGGCGTCAGGGCGGGTAGTTGTGCTGATCCTCAGAAGTCTGGTTTGAAACTTGGGGCCTCAGCTGTGATTAGTGAAGGGTCTCTTCACAGTTATGTTGGGTGAAGAAACGAGTATCTGGCACCTAAAATTCCTCTGGGGTCCCAGCCCAGAAGTCCTGGATCTCACGTGTGTGTCTGGGCTGCAAGAAGGATGTGATGTGAGGACTTCCGGTCACCCCTGTCCACCAGCTCCCCTGTGAACAGTCTCCACACTAGGTAGCAGGAGGAGGTCGGTATCGCTCCACTCTTCTCTCAGCTCTGCATTGACACTGCCTGTTTGCAGCTGCTGCCCAGTTCCCTACCATCTGTCCCCACTCTCAGCACCATCTCGAGCCACGTGTCCCCTTTAGGAGCCACCCACCAACGTTCATCAGCCTGAATGTATAGTTTGATATTTTGGGTAATATTTACATTTCACTCTTTCAGATAGGTCTTGAGTCACAGCTATAAAATCAATTGATTGCATTTGGAGGAAAGTTTTTGGGGAAAAAGCTTGTTATCTTTTTAAATCAGTGCAGCTATGTACATTTTCTACAGGGTTACCCCATGATAATGATTGCAGGAAGCTGAACTGTTGAGTTATGGTTATTGGAATCTAAACAATCAGATTGTTTCGGGACTTCAAACAATACATAGTATTGCCTTGTGTTTGCTTTGCTTTGGGGAAAACCCTTCATTGCAAACTGTCTTCAGTATGAGTCTTTAAAAACATTCAGAGCCCACTAAGCTCTTTTCTGTCTTGGTGTCTAGCCACTAAAGCTATCTGACAGGTCCTCCTCAGAACTGGACCCTCAATAGCAGTTGTAATGCAAATACAGCATGCAATGAACTAGAAGATAAACATGGTCTGTTGTGGCCTTTTCCTAGAATGAAATGTTGGCATTTCTGTTGGCATTGTTTGCTTTCCCAGCAAAATAAACAATTAGGGAAGAACAGTGACAAACCTTTGCTGTAATTGTAAATTTTGCAAACCACTTTATAACTTCCTGGTCTTCAGGAAAACTCAAAATGTCCCTTATCCTGAACAGCATGGTGAAGGCCCTCATTAAGCTGGTGCCTAATCATAAGCAGAATATGCTTTTTGAAGGCATTCTGTTTAAGTATTGTGCTGAAAAGGGGGCCACGTCCCTCCAGATCAGCTCTGGTGTGGGGGGTGCTCTGGAATAAATCGTTGTAGTCTCTTAAAAAGTTAGGGAATTTTTTTAAAAAAAGGACAATATCTGTAACTTTATACATTGCACAAACCTTACTGTGGGGCTCTAGAGGAGGATGAATAATTTAGATGATTTTGTCCTAGCCTATAGTGTGAAAACTACTGAAAAGATGTCAGTAAATTGCTTAAATCCATTGCTGTTGTTGGAGCTCGTTTCCCACCGCTGTTTAAGCTACGCAGCCCAGGGAAGCGCTATTATCTGCAGCTCGGCTTGAAAGAAGTGTGTAATGCTGCAAATACAGATCTTGGCTAGCTAAAAGTAATAGCTCGTGAGTTGACAAGGAGACCGTGCCTATTCTAAATACGCCTGGGGTGGTCAGTGTGGTTTTTGGGCACGGAGAGCGGGCACGGGGGAGGCAGGTCCCTCCTCCCCTCGAGGCAGGGGATTCACCTCCTCCGGGATTGTTTTTGGGGAGGCAGCAATGGAGGATTCCCAGTACCTCTTGCAGCCGATGGTATGGGACATGCTGCTGAGCCTTGGCCTCTTTGCCCTTTTAAAAGTCTGCCAGGAAACCTCCTCCACGAGGAAGCAATGGTTATATGGTGATGGTGGACGTCTTGACCCGCTCCCAACAGCAGCTGGCACTGAGGTAAATAAATTATAATTGAGTTAATTAGGTGGCTTATACTAGTTGTCTGTACAGAGGTGCTTTACACCAAAACTTCCTAGGTTTAAGCAAAACATTAAATTGCTGTGGAGCAACAGCGAGGAATGCTTTTTAACATCATCCTGCCGGTGAGCGGCCGAGGTGTGGTATCATGTCCTCTTCTCTTTTCCTGTGGTAACAGCACTGATTGTATCCACCTGAAATTTGGCTCCTAGGCTCTCTGGATCTAATGCAATTAAAAAAAAAAAAAAAAAAGAAAAGAAAAGAAATATGCTGCTGGTGCCCTGTAATTTTTTATGGTGTGATAGGTGGGGTGGTGCTGGTGAGGGGAATCCTCACCTCTGCCTGTGGAACCTTCTAGAAGGGGGCACTGAGCCTGTGCAGTGGGGAGGGGCGCACTGAGCGTGCTCGGTGGGAGCGGCAGCCATTTTAGTGCCCCCAAGCTGCTGCCACGGGGAGTGGTTCAGTGCATGGCCTCAGGGCCTGCCCTGCTGCTGGCAGTGGTAACAGCAGCCAGAGGGGCAGAAAGTGGTGGCAGAGGAATGGCCATTTTAAAAAAATGAGGTACGCATGGTCATGAACGGTCGTTGTGTAAAAGGGAGGCAGAGCGTTTGGATGGTGCCCCCTTTGCTCGGGGGCCAACTCCTTGTCTGAGGAGTGACACAGGTAAACAGAGAGGATTTGGGTCATGGGACGGAATGAAATTAATGTCCTCTGCTTCTGTGCCTCTCCTCTGATGGCTGAGGGGAAACCTCTGGCAAATAGGGTCCTCCGTCAAGTCGGGCCTCGCCTTGCTTTGAGGTCAAAGCAGTGAGTGCCCAGTGCAAATCAAGGTGCTATGGACCAGTTTCTGAACTGGCAGAAAACAACATGCAGTCACTGGCTAAATGAGTTCTTCATTCCTTTCCATTAGATGACTCTGTCCCTATCAGCTAATGGTGTGGTGGTGGCGGCATACTGCGACGTGTGTTTTTGCTTAACATATGCCACTGTTTCATATCTCTGTCCTAATGTTTATCAATACTGTTACTTAAATAAACAAATCTGTTTCTCTAGCAGTGTTGACAGCAAGTGCATTTACAGAAATTTCCGTTATTTCTTAAATCAGATTGCATAAGGCACGAAAGTTTTTCTGTCTGGGGGTTTGCCTCTGGTATCGGCAAGATGGAATTATTCTAAAAGTACATCGCTTTATTCCGTAGATTATAAATGATGAGTTCTCTTTGGTTATTTACATTTTTATGTCCTAAATAAATATTGTGTATATCAAGAAGCTTTGGCATTACCTTAAGTATTTCCAGCAATTAGTGGAGGGAATTTGGATTGGAAAGTACTTATAAAAGCGTTACCGATACATTAGATAGTAGAATCAAGCAGAAAGTTGGATGGAATTTTGTGCTCTCTGGCTTCTTGAAAAGTGTTTTCCATAGCAAAGTAATTAAATGCTTTTAACAAAATAAATAGTAAAGGTTAATTACAGAAATGTAATATCCCTGCTTTTATCAAAAGACAGCACAGCTTCCTGGCATTCTGTAAGCAGTGGTTGGTATAGTCCTGCAGATAATATTAATTTCTTTTTACGTAAAATAAAGATAGAGGCTATAGCCAAGTGAGGGAGGAAGATTCTCCACTTGTTGACCATTCTTTGCACGAGACTAAGCTCTGAGGTACAGTAGTAGTGTGGTACCACTTAAATCACTGTGCTTTCCAGTTGGTAGAATATAGTCGTTTCCCCGTGAACGAAGGCTGGATTGTGTTACTTAGAAAAGGTAAGTGGTGTTTCCAAATGTGTTCCAATCTGCAGGTTGTTTTCTGTTCTGTTATCTCATTGCCTATTTGTCAAATTGTTTGCCATCAAGCATTTGGCTCTGAGATTGCTGGACTCTCTCTGAATTTCACTCATTTACTCAGTGTTGCTGTTCTTCATGGGGGAAAACTCACACGGAACTGGTGGGCTCTTCTGTTATTTTGTGGGTTTTTTTCATATCCTTCCATCAGCTGTTTACAGAAACTAATAATTTGAAAATAATATTCCACCCTGAATTTCCAAGGTTAAGAGCAAACACTTTAAAAATTCTTCCTCCGCAGTCCTCAAGCAATATATATGTTCCTAAAGAGGGTATTGTGAAGGTATTCTGGAGGATATGAGTGGCCAGTACCATTGAAGCAATTATCTTAAAACTTGAGGGTTTTTTCAGTATGCTGTTTGGTTTGTAGTTTTCCTCAGTGTGCAGTTGAAGAGCTCTTTCCTTAGTTCTGATTCTGACATGATAATTTTTCCTGCCTCCTCCTAGTAACGAAGACAGTGTGTGCAGAGCAGTGCGATGGACGGTGCTATGGGCCCTACGTCAGCGACTGCTGCCACCGGGAATGCGCTGGAGGCTGTTCCGGACCTAAAGACACTGATTGCTTTGTATGTGTGAGACTTCTCATTTTTCTTGTTCCTGGCAGTCACACTGCAAATTCTTAATGCTTAAATCCTTGAAATTCACAATTTTGTCCCTTCTAATGTATTGCATGCACCCTCCCAGATTTAGACTGCGGATTTTAACATTTAATATTTTTCACATTATATTAACATCACTTATCTACTTAATATTACCCATTAACAGATTTATGAGATTTGTAAATACAGATTGGGAACCATTAATATGCTAATCTCTGTGATTTTTATCTTTTGCTTTTCTAAAATTAAGTTTTAGAGGTGATAGGGAATTTTTAGAAGTATTTATCATTACATCTGAGCATGGCTTTTATTACTGCTCTGTGTGCTTTTTATTTGAAAGTCAAGAATACAATTTAGCTTCTCGGTGAAAGGTGTTCCCTGTTACTGCCAGACTTGATTTAAATTCAGCTTTTTTACTGGGCATGCTTCTTAGTGGAGATGGAAGGAAAGTGGTTTCCGAAATGCTCTACCTCAAATGCATGCTACTGCGTGTGCTTAAAATGAAAAGAGGAAAAGGCTAACTTTTTCCTTAAAAAAATAGACAATCTGAACATACAGCCTTTTGACAAATTTGTAGTCTTGTTTGTAGTCTGTTATTTATAACAGTGTAAATAGTTTCAGAACCCAACACTGATCTAAAAAAAAAGTGTAGCTCATCACACTGGGTTGCAGAGACAAGTTTTGCTGCTGTTTTCAGGGGAAGCAAACCTAGGGCTAAAGAAGCCTAGAACTGGAATGTGCACAGAGAGGTGGATTTTCAAAGGTACCCAAGTGATTGAAGAGGCAAATATCTACGAAGTTGGGTAGGCTCCTTTTAAAATCTGCCAGACAGGACTGGGAGGAGGGATCTTATGGTATGGAAAATTGCAGATGTTTTGATAGCGTAGGCAAGTGGATCATAATGAACTGGCAAAAATGAATCTTTCCCTGGCTGAACCTGAAACTTGCTCACTGTTCAGATATCGTTTGATAGTGGTAGGTGTTGTGCTTCAAAAACACATTCTAAATGCTATTCTTTTGCTGTTGATGAAATGCAGTGATGGCCTGACTTAACTGCTAGCGGGTTTTACTGAAGCTGTTCTTTGTGGCTGGGGCTTTGGACAAGTAGATATTCAGTACACGGGGTATGCCTGATCCAACGCTCACTGGAAATTCTGTGTTGGCTTTGGACTAGAGATATGGGAAAACAACATTCTTTCCCGTGTCATGTACAATCTAAATAGGTAAAGGAAAGAGGAAAAATGGACTTACTGTTCCCGTCTGACTGTTGAGGAACATCCTCAAAGCTTATCTGTTGATGTGTGTCCATTTTCACAGGTTAAGGGCAAGTTATTTGCAGCATAAGTTCTGTAATACTGCAGCCTGAATGAAAATGAGTTACACTTTCTGAATTGTGGCAGTTACGGAAATATGTATGCTAAAAATCAACTAGCGTGTTTGTTCTGATCCAGCAGAGAAGCACCCAGGGCTTTATTCTCATTCACTCCTAGCCCGAGAGCAATGTAAGAGAAATTCAGCAGGGGGTCTGGCAATTTTCAGGACTAGTCATTACTTGCTTAGTACGCGCTGGGTGAAAAGTGTAACCCTTTAGGCTATAGACAACTGTACTTAGCTTTCAGATGAGATACGGAACTTCGTTTTTTCCCTGTGTATTTTCCTGTGCTTTCATTGACAAATTAGTGGCAGTTAGCACCAAATGCTAGAAGCTTGTATACATTATCGAAGCAATTACAAATGTATACAAAGCATTATAGTCATAAATTAAAAGTTCCCAAATCTTCTAGATGAGCTTTTTCTGAGAAGTGCCATCTCTCCGAAGAGTATTGGTGTGCTTTATGAATTTGCTAAACTGTTATCAGAGGATTGTCATGTACATGACAGAGTACCTCTTAAGTCAACAGCAGATTTGAAAAATGTGTTGAGGAGAAAAACTGAATTAGTATTTATTAATAAGCAAAGTACAGTTTATGAAGCATTACAAATCCTTTAGCATATTATGGCAGCTTGCAACAGCATCCTGTGGTAAATATGGTTTTAATATTTCTAGGTAAAATTCATGCATTCTCCTCCATATGCTGCCATACAATCATTTGCATATTCAGTTCTAAAGCAAGACAATAATCATCATCTGACATAACTGCAAGCAAACATGCTAAAACAAAATTTTAAAGATGTTCTTATCTTGCATTCAAAACCAAACTGGATCTAAAACTTGAAATGCATAGGAGGGCCGGTTGAGTGCCCAATGGAACCGGAAAAGTGACACAACCCTATTTGTAGGATGGACTTCTCGTCCAGTTCTTGGTAAAGAAGTAACTGTATTATCTTTGTAAGACAAAAAAAAAAAAAAAATCTGGTTCTGTGAGAAACTGACCGTTTTTGTAATACGCATTTTAAAGAACCAGAAAAGATAGGGTCAGCAGTTTGGCTTAGCTCATGCTCCATATAGGACAGTGCCTTCATCCTGGAACGCCGTTTCTCCCTTTCAGCAGCAGATTTTGTCTTTCTCCCTTGGTTACATTATTAGCCTCTCCCTTCTGAAATCTTCTGACATGCCGAGTAACCTCCCTCAGTCCTGCTGGTCCTGATCTGAGTGGAGATAAGGACTGTTAGTAAAAGCAGCAGAACAGAGGAATCTCTTTCACTTTTCTCTCAGTCCCAGCCCTCGAGGGGAGGGGACATGACACACATGTTGGCGTACTTGTTGACTCTTTAAAGATTCAAAACCATCTGTATTTTTTACAACCTGCAAAAGGACTGGAAGGATTCATCCCCAGACTAAAACTTCTAAAGCAACCTGGCTTATGGAAGCCAGGTTAGTAGGGAAGCAAAATGCAGTAGCAGTGGTTGCTTAAGCTGCTAGAGGGATCCAAGCCAGGCTACAGCTTTCATATTCAGATGAAATTTGACATTTACGGTATGCTTTGTGAATATTAGTCCAACAGTTTTTTGTAAGCTGTGGTTAAAACCATAGACACGATATGTGGTGATCAGGAATGTCAAAATCGGTGGGTTTTTTCTATTACTAATTATCAACCTTGCATGGTCAATTATTTTCCCTGCATACCATTACTTTCTTTATCCACACACTTGCCTCTTCATTTGTCAGGGCCTTGTCCTCTGTCAGCTGTGGGTGGCTGAGCTTGAATGCTAAGTGATACAAAGTCCTATTTTCTTTTCTCAGTGTGTGAAGCAACTGACCTTGTTAAACTTGCCACTTAGGGAAATGACCCCCTTCTGTGCTAGCTCAAAAGAAGTTCTTATCCCTCTTGCTTTCTAATTGGGAATTTCAGTTTTCAGCTGGACGATGGACTCATGCTGTAAGAAATCTAAAGGTTGGACCTGTGAAAAAGTCATTAGCATTTGTTTAGACTGACTATGATAAATAGCTGTTCACTCTTGGCAGTTTTAAAATGTCCTATCAAGTTGTGAATTGGTTGATTGCTGGTAGTAACAATAGTTATGAAACAAATTACAGTGTTGTTATGTTTTTGTAGGAAATACTGTAACAGTCAACTGTGTTTCAAATTAAAGGGGGCTCAGTGAGCCCCCTTTTATAAGTCGTGTATTTGCCAAGATCCTAGCAAGAAATCTAAGTAGCCAAAATGAAGGTTAGAAATCTATATATCACATTCCTCACTGTTGCAGCAAGTCTGAACAATCAAGACTGTATTTTAAACTCAAAAACCCCAAAAGCAGCTATATGATTTAATTTAATATTTTTTTCTCCCTTGTTTTGCAGGCCTGTATGAATTTCAATGATAGTGGTGCATGTGTCACGCAGTGCCCCCAGACTTTTGTATACAATCCTACCACCTTCCAACTGGAGCATAATCACAATGCCAAGTACACCTACGGGGCTTTTTGCGTCAAAAAGTGCCCGCGTAAGTGCTGTGTTAGCTGCCTTTTCCTGCAGTGATGGAAAGTTTGAGTTGCATTTCAGGAGCCTTACAAAACAATGAGAGAATGAGAGCTAAGTGCATAGAGCAGTATCTCAAATCATTCCACATGTGCTTGCAGCCTGTAATAACTCAGTCATGTGTTAACTAAAGACAGTGACATTCTGGGTTGCTGACACTTTCCAAGTATCCTATTCTCTAGTGATTTTCTTAAAGAAAGGGAATTCGCTAGGTTTCTGTTTTCATGACCACCACTTGTTACATTCATGCTTTAGATCAGCATTTGTAAATTTCAGAATGAGCTGTTAAAATAGTTAGTGGGATTGTAAAAGGGTAGAAATTTCTGTTTCAGAAAAGTAACAGTCTACCACCAGTACTACCTGGCACCAAATGCTTTCATGATACTGATGCCCTTTTTTGAACTTGGTTTGACAGAAAGTTACCATAAATATTTTCTGAGCAGTTCTGTCCCATTGAGAAAAAAACATGCAATACTGACAACAATACAATCTTAAAGCTCCAGAGTAAAATTAGAGGGGAGGAGGGAGTTAAAAAAAGAATAATCCCATGCATGTAAAAAACACATGCTTCTGAGATGCCAGACAGATGATGACAAGTAACAGAAAAATTTAGAGGGTCATCACTTAAGTAGTCTTTGATACTGCTGTTTTAGTTAGAAAGAAAAATAAGGGAGACTATTCTTTCTCTCTCCCTTTCATTCCCACCAAGGTTTGCAGTTCTGTTGTGCATTAATTATTTTATACATATTACATATAAGAAGGATGAATAATCTATAATAAATGGAACCATAATTCAACCCAAAGCAAAATCTAAATTTTGAATCTCTGTGGAGAAGTTCAAATCGACAGTAGGCTGAGGCTGTGACTGTCAGGGCTTAGTTCTGTCTCTAATAAGTGGTGGGTTTTTTGAAGCAAGATAATTTTTTTACAAAATTGGTATACCATGACTACTTAAGGGATATGATTCTTTGTCCAAATATTTCATTTAACTTTTTTTTCCTTTTTTTTTTTTTCTTTCTTGACATTATTAAGCTTTCAATTAGGTAGGATCGGTCTATATCCCCTTTGCCAGTTGATTTATATGGCGAAATTGAAATACTTGTCATTGTCTTGTGCACTGTTTTATCCCAGATGTATATATTTGTGTATGTATGAAAGAGGGCAGAGCATCTTGTTTTATTTCTCTCCAGTTACTGTAGCTTTTTTTTCACACAAATAATGATAAAACCAAATTGGGGGAGGAGGGGGGTTCAGGCCTGACAATTCATGGATTTTAATAAGTCTCCGAAAACATGCCTGATTTGCTTGCTTATACACTTCTGAAAACAGTGAACATTAAATGTTAATGTCAGTGTGGAAGTGCTGAGGTAATTGATAATATGGATTGACATAGAGTCCATAAACATGTGTCCAGTATTATTTAGTCCGGTGGTTCGCTTTCTGCCAATATCTTCTTTTTCTCTTCAGACAACTTTGTGGTCGATTCCAGCTCTTGTGTCCGTGCATGTCCAAGCTCCAAGATGGAGGTTGAAGAAAATGGTATTAAGATGTGCAAGCCCTGCACTGACATTTGTCCTAAAGGTAGGCAGTAGTTTAGTATAAATTTTCTTGAATGTGGTCTACACTGTAGTAGAGCAGAGCGGGGTGTTATTTTGGCATGAAATACCCTTCATGAGTATGATGTGGAATATTAATAGCCTTTGGATAGCCACAGAACTATGTAGGCTGTGTGTGAAGTATATACAATAGAATGAAAATTTATTAAGCTGTAATGGTACTATAACCAAACCAATTACTCTTTATTAGATAAAAATGAAGGGGATTTCTCTGTTGGTTTTAGAGAAATCTGAAAGAATTCTTTATTATGTTATTTTAATGACACGTATTTCCTGGAGAGGTGTTTTAGAGCTGTCCTTTTGTCATTCCAAAGGGGCCATACTAAAGCCCTGGCTTCAGTGCATGGTACGTCTCATACTTGTCAATACAACATTAGGTTTCCATTTATTTCTTCTGTTTTTTAGAAATGTCTCTGTTTTCCCAGAATCTTCTACCTCCTTTCAAAGTGTCTAAAAAATAGACTAGAAGTTTTTCAGTGTTGGTGCTGTTGAGAAGACTGAGATCTATAGGTTACTTTGCTGTCCCAAGCTCCACTAGGGAGACTTTCTGTTCCCTGCTTGAAGGTCTCGGAAGCAAAGCACCATCAGTTTTCCCACGTGGGCCTATGCCACTTTTCAGTCCTAGTGGAAGCCATATCTGGAAAGGAATTCACAATGAAGCTACTAAAAAACTCTATATATCAACAGTTACTCCACATGGCTGAAACAGTCAAACAGAGAGATCTCTGCCAAGGCAGGGTACTGACATGCTGAATTCTAAGTGAAGGCAATGTCCAGCCCTCTAACCTAATTGCAGTATATAACTTTTTTGCTGGATAGATAGTTTTATGCATGTGTAGTGTTTCTGTCAAGTTCCTAGCCTTACTCTGTGAAGAAGAAAGTGATCACATGTTTGTAAAAGGTTCAGGTGTACTGCTGGTAGTTGCCATTAGAGGAGCCCAGTTAGGGAGATACGTGATGGAAGCCATGAAGGATTTGTTCCTGTATGCATCGTGTATGCCAGAAAATGCAACTAAATTACATAGAAAGTCTACACAGAGAAGTTTCCTCACTGGATACCAAAGTTTCTCCAGGCCCCAGTAACTTACTTGGTGGAATGATGAGTAAAGAATTATTTGTATGTCCTTTCTAAAGGACCTTATGGCATGTGAATGGCCGTAAGTTCAGAAATCCACCAGAGCAAAGGGGACCTCTTGAGCTAGCAATGTTAGGACCCCTCAGTTTCTGCAGTGAGTAGTGCACACATAAATGGCACGGCCACCAGGCTAGTCTGAGTTAGGTTATCAGCAGACTGTTTACAGCTGGCTTGAGTGGGATTTTGTGTGGTTCATGCTTGCCTTTAGATCCGGTGTGAAATACCTTAACCTGTGTGCCAGGATGTCCTTCTGTGGCAGGTACTTTGGCTCACTGTTTCTTTTAAATTGGCACGTGCTTCTTTGGGAATATGGGTAAAGGGTGCCGTTTTAACACCTCTCTGCTGCTTTATGTCTGAAAGAAATGATGGTTCGTGTCTAGAAGTCAGTTGGTTTTCCTAGTTCTTTACACAAACTCCTTGTTTTGGCAGCATGTGATGGCATTGGAACAGGGAGTTTAGTGTCAGCTCAGACGGTGGATTCCAGCAACATTGACAAGTTCATAAACTGTACCAAGATCAACGGCAACCTTATCTTCCTTGTTACTGGGATTCATGGGTAAGTGACAAAATGTTAGGACGTTACGTCGTGGTGCCAGCTGAAAGGAACTGCATCCACCTCTTAATGATGGCTGCAGGCTTCTTTTACGGAATAGCAGATCCAGGATAAATTAGTTTTCTGCCTTCCATTATGAAGGAAACTGTTACCTTGATTCTGATGATTCAAGCTCTAGGAAAAGAAAGGATCAAGTCGACTGTTTGCACTAGAAAGAGGAAAGACAGCTGTGATCTTTCGTTACTTTATGCGATCCTCGAAACTGGCTGACAATAATGGCTGATTAGAGAACAGAAGGGAGAAAGGGAAGTTACCTTCCATTAGTTTGTTTTAAATGTATGACAGGCAGTCTAATGTGCAGAATATGCAGAGAGAGTGCCTCACCTAGCATCGTCATAGCCTGGGTGGCTGTCACTGCATATTCATGCAAAAAAGCTGCCCTCTTGTCAATCAGTTTTGAAGTATATATTCAAGTTTCAATTGCAGAGATACACAAAACTTACTAGTATTTAAATACAGTATTTTGGTTTAAATATGGCTGTATATTGAATAAGTCTTAGTAACAGTTGAAGATGTGGAGGTACAGAACCGGTATTTAGAAGTCTCATCAAAGTCTCCTTCTAAAGGAAGATACACCAGCCAAATAACTAGTGCCTTGCTGTTTATAGTTTGGCAAACTGCGTGTTTGCCATTGTAGCAAAGGTGAATGCATGGTGCACGTGGTGCAAGGGTGGGATGTGTCCAGGGAAGACAGACACACTCCGTTTTGATGGTCAGATGAGATCCAGTGGAACTAGCCGCTTTCTTGCATTGTATTCTTTCTGTCATTGAGAGAACACAAATATGATTGTATCTTCTTACTAATTCAAGCCTTCATGTTGTAATCAGCCATGGTGAATTACATGTGACACTTGAGGTATTTCTGGACCTATTAAAATGAGCACAATCCTCAAAATGCACAAATAAGATTAAACCCTTTTGCCCCTTTGTTGCAATAAGTATGCAGATATTTTGTGGTACATTAGCAGTGTAAGTTATTCAATTGCTCCTATCACGGCGTAGGCTTCAAATTTTAACTTGCTTTTTAGGTTCCTCGGAGCTTTCAACATTGCTTGCAACTGGTTGTGAAGACTTGATATCTTAAACACAGTTCCCAAACCAACTCCATGTTTGCAGCTTTATGGCATAGCGAAAATGTGATGAGCTGAATGTCTGCAGATTGATCTGTAATGGATTTCTGGCATAAGTAGTGCCAGCAGATTTTTCTTTAGTCTTTCTATAGATTCAGATATGTGTAGAGTATCATAAAGTGGTTGACACTAGGCTGCCTGGCTCAAATTTCCCTACTAGGTGAGGTGGAAAGAAACGACTTGTTTCCTTGATTTGATATAGTGATTTGTTGTAATGCTTCACCTACAACTTGACTCCAGCCGTGAGAATGACAGTTGAAAATCCACTCCAGTGGGGCCCTGCAGCTCAATGATTCTCTAAAGGCCAGCAGATGTGAGCTTTGACTGTGTAGTTGGTCTTCTCATCGCTCCAGCAGGGAGCACAGTGTGAAAGGTTAATGTAGCATAGGGAGGAAGAAGGACTTTGGTTCAAGTGGTTTAAGGCAATGCTACTTCGAACTTGTTGAAACCCTGGAGAAGGTCGAAGAGGAGTCAGTGCTCAGGCCATCACACTTTTTGATCTGGCCAAATGACCGACCAAGAGGCTGGCTGTAAATCTATTCAATCTCACAGGACAGGAAGTAATCTAGCAAATGCAAGACAAGCAGCTAGAGGACATGAGCGATTTTGTGTGGATTATTCCAGTGCATTATGTTTGTGCCATTACAATTGATCCTGTCATATTTTTGATCCTGTGATTCTGTAGCCTCTGTCTTTCCCTTTCCTGAGTACTTGAACTTCAAGTCTTTGTGAATTTGTAATAATTCATATAAAAATGATATATATATATAAAAAATTATGAATTGGTTTTATGCACAATTTATAATAGTTTATATATAAATTAGATAATTATGAATTGGCTTTAATTAGCATCCCACTAGAAGTTAGGTGGGATGAAGGTAGACCTAAATTTTGGTGAGTCAGTAGTACTCATTCTTCTAAGGTAATGTTCCGCTGAAGTGTATGGATAAAGTGATCTTCGTTAGGATACATACCTGCTGCCTGAGACAGGGTGAGAAAACACATCGGCTGGGAAACGGGTAAGACCTGTATAGGTTGGATGCAGCCTTTCCTCTACTGTTTCCTTCTGGTTGGGGTGCTAAAAAGCCAAGCTGCCTTCTGCTTGTGCTGCTGCCTGTGAAGGGGTGGGATATACCAAGGAGAGCTGTAGTTTAGGGATGGGACAGCCCCAGCTAGCAGCAAATGCTGCCTCCTTCCTCCCACTTGCAGCAGGAGCAACAAGCCCTCAGTGCACCCCAGCTTTTTATCTTCCCTTTGGTTGTCCATCTCCAGTTTCACAATGAGCTGAAACTCTCATTCTTGGAGCTGTAAAATTCAGCTGTGCCTGTTCTACTGAAAAATCTTGGCTCTGCTAATAAGAATGGTAGAAGATGACTGCATTATTCTACAGTTTTATATGTTGATAAAACATATCAGACATTTGGCTTCTTAAGGGGGTTAAATGTATATTTGTATCTTTAAAGACTACTTTATGTTAGGATTTGGAGGTGAAATTCAGTAACTTCGTGTTTAGTACAGGCAAGGATTTTCCTTTTTTAATAGTAATGCCTTGTAAAAGCAAAATGCTGTGTTTCTGTTAGGTAGTCAAAACTTGTTGTCTAGTTTCCTGAGAGGCCCAAATTGTTAAAATTAAGTGTATATGATGCTTCTGTGATCCACTGGGCTTTATGTTAAGATTCGAGAACTCATTTTGTTGCTGCTAACCTGGACTCGCCTCCAGGATGGTTAGAGGTGACCCCATCAGTCTGTCGCTGCACAGACATGTGAGGCCTGTCCCCAAAGACACCCTGGTTGATTACCTGCATGTGCCAATTCCAAGAACGATGTCTCTTGGAAAGCAGGAGGAGGAGAGGTGGAAATGCATGTTCCACATTTACTGAGGATGTTTCCTACCCTCAGAAAACCCACAAAAACACCGTAACAATGTGTTACCGAAGAATCATTTCCTCAATTTTTAAAGGATTTTTGTTTGGATTAGGCTTCTAGTCGGCTTCTTAAATAGTTGGACAGTTTTTACTCCTTTAAAATTGGGGGGGGGAGGGCAGAATTATTTACTAAATGATGGCACTCTCAAAATCAAGGTCAGCTTCATCTTTTTACACTGTAGCATATCTAACTTTGAGATTTTAATGTTTGGGGGTATTTCATTTCTCAGGCGACAAACTTGTTTGGCAAGGATCTGTGCTTTTTGACGTTCCCTGTTCCAACACCTTCTAAAAAGTGTACCCTTTTAATGCCATCGGTTAGGAACTGCTGGCAAGCTCTTAGTTTTGTTTTGCTTATGGCTTGTCACTCGTTTCAGTAACAGTTTTGTTAGTCCTGGTAGTACAGTACCACAACTGTACCATTTGAGCTAGTATTCCTGGAAAAAATGTTGAAAATACATCTTTCCTTTAGTGACGTTACCCATGGCTGTTTAGAATCCCTTAATTTTCCATGAGCATAAATATTTGCTAAAACGTTAATGATTTGAACCTTAAAGATGCTAAGCACCATTATTTTCCTTCCAAGATGACTTGAGAGATGACAGGTTCTGCAGGAACAACAGGCTGAAAAAATGGAAACAGTCTGAAGAAATCTGGAGCATATGCTGCCTAAAAGCGAAGTGTTGACCTCCTGAATACTGTATGGCTTTGAGAACCTGATCTTTTTTATTCAGAGTATCACATTTTGTCCTTTTAATCTTTCAGGGACCCGTATCACACAATAGCCGCAATCAATCCGGAGAAATTAAATATCTTCCAAACAGTGAGAGAGATAACAGGTAACACACTTCTGATTTCATGTAATCTGAACTTCTCATTTTGCATTTATGGTTGTCATTTGTTGCGTTTTCTGAAGAACGCAACGTGCTTTTTTCTTTAAACTGCCCACGCTGTAAACTTCATAGAAGTTTAATACACAACAACTTCAGTATCAGTTGATATTCACAATGTGTTGTCCTTTGCTCATGAATACAGAATACCCATTACGTTTGGGGTACACAAGCATCAGAAGACTAAGACCTTACTGTTGAGCGGGCGAGGGGTCTTGGTCTTCACTTGAAAGCTTTTGAAATATGCGTTGGAAAAAAACAGATAAGCCAGTCTGGTTTTGCAGCTACTTCTCTTGGTCTAAGAGCAGATGCTGCTGCAAACTAGCTTCTGTAATTTAAAGACAAATGTGTAACGTGTGGGGTGGTATTCCCTCCCATCTTTTGTGGCTTTTCAGTGGGGTTATATAGCTGGAACTTGGTATTTCTTTTTCTTGCATCTTGCTTTTTGTTGTTTCACCATTTGGGGGACAGGGAGGAAGGTACTACAGCTTTGAGTTCTCGATTGGTTGCTGATTATGTATAGATAGGGAAATGCAAAAAAAAAAAAAATTCTATTTCATGCACAAAAAAAGAAATCTTTGGATGCTACAGCATGATTGTAGCTGGGTGGAGCTCAACAAGTGTTTGGCATTTGAAATGGGTTCTCTCCCACATGCTTCACCTCTCAAAAGTTGTGTATTTCAGCAAACCACTGGGATTAAAAAATGAAAGTAAGCTCTAAGTCTCTCTGTAATTAATGTCAAAGATAGTCTGGCATCTGGGTGTCTGTAATTTGCCATTCTTAAGCACACTGTCTAATTGACAGTCTCAGCTCTACTACTTAGTGGAATTACCCCTGTGCTTAAAGATGTACTGCATTTCAGTCCGGTACTGAATCAAAATCATAGGGAGCTGCACTCTGTAGAGGTCTGTGTAGCACAAAGTAAGTAGTCCCACATACTTGTGCAGAGAATGCTCTCTGGCAATGAACAGTCCTTGCACACACACACACTCAGAAACAAATGCAAGTTCTTTGTTTTAGGAAAATCTTGTCATTTTTTAGTGCATCATAACGGATCTCTCAACTTCTGTCCTAAATCTCTAGCACCTTTTAAAACTAAATGTTCTTAATTCAGGCAAATCTGCATTTTTTTCTGCTGCTGCTGTTTAGAAAAGGCGGGGGTGCCTTGCAAGATTTCAGCCTGCGCTTAAGTTCACCCCCACTGTGGCTGTTAAAAGTGGACATAATGCTGCTGTGACTGTTAAGAGTCCTCCTTTGCCTTCTGGAGGAGATAGTGGTGAGCAGCCTGATGAATTCAAAGTCTGCAGCATTCATTACCTATTTATTTCTTTTTCTTAAACCAGCACTGTCTTTTGTTTATAGGCTAAGCCTATCCTAATTCATGTATGTGATAAAGCAGTCTTTATGGCTGAAGTCATTGATACTCATATGTTTGTGTTTTTCTCCTTTAGGGTATTTGAACATACAGTCATGGCCTGAGAATATGACAGATTTCAGGGTATTTTCTAACTTGGTTACTATCGGTGGAAGAGCTCTCTATAGGTAAGGTACTTTCTCTGTTGATAGATTCAATGATTCTTTGTTCAGTAGCACAGAATGCAACATCCTTTGGGAAGGGCATCATAAATTGATATGTTTTTCTCTGTTACCAAGGTATTCATTAACAGTGTATTTGCTAATCAGTTGTTTATAGTGGGTAATACCTTTTGAACATAATGATTTAAAAAAAAGAAAAATCTTGGTTTGTTGCTGTAGCTGTTAACTCATTGTCTGGAAAGTACATTTTATGGTTTAAAATACCTTGTGAATGTGAAACGTAACTTAAAAGACATTAATAGTAGAACTTAGCCCTCTTATCAGGAAGTTTATATGGTTGCGATTGGAAGTGCAGGCTCATGTGCCCAAAGAACAATGTGGTCTTAAGAAACGGTAAAAGATAAATACATGGAAGAACACTGACACCACTGAGGTACCTTGTGGGTGGGGTGTACATTAGCTCTGTAGTGCCATTTTTACCAGAGGTGTTTCCATATGAAAACTCATATGGAGGAATTGGTTTGAAGAGAAGCAAATGTGGTGAGAAATAATGAGGAAAGCACAAGAAGGTATCTGAATGATATATACAGCAATCCCTGGTTCTCCATTGTGTAAATATAGTAAATCAGTCATGGGATTCTGCTGGCGTCTTAAACAGCAACCCAAGCAGATTATGAATAGCGGTGAAACCTTGAGACTGGATTACAGCCCAGCATTCTGTTTGGAAGCAGCAATTTTTATTTGGAACAGCTGGAAAACAATTATAACCATTAAAATACAATAACTTAAAGGATGCCCAGAAACTGGATATTGTCTTCACTAATCTTCAGTCATAAAATATGTGCAGTCATTTCCGTGTTACACAGACAATCATTTACCATTCCTTTGATGAAGGAAGGAGATAAGCACGTATTACAACAAAAGAAAAATGAAATGTAGAAAGTGGGCTGGAAAAATTTCCTTGAAAATAACAATTTTTTCCTGTATTACTATAAATGGCATTAATTTGATGCCTGACAGAAGATGTTAATACATTTTGCATGATTTTGTCAGTTTGTCCTTAGCATATAAACTATCATAGTATCAATTTTGTTGTCTTAGAAAAAAAAATCTGGATTTTATTCAGTTTTCTCAACAGCACTTTTTTATCTCGAAAAACATGTTAATGGATGAAAAGGAACTAGTTGAGGTGTTTTGCTGGCCCAGTTGGCCTAGCGCTGTGAGCATCACAGCTTGCAGTGTCACAAGTCTCACAGGGTTCATAATTTTCTAGGCAACAGAACTGGATGTTGACTCATAAAATACTTGTGTTACCCCCAAAATAAAAGTTTTCCGACCAAATTTCAGTTTTGCCAGAAAGATCATCTTGATCATCATCAGGAACTAATCCTAGTGGGAAATTCCCAACCAGCTCTAAGAAGTTCTGCCTTCTGGAGCTAATTCCTGTTCTCTCTTACTTTTGTTTTCATCACAGTGGCCTTTCCTTACTCATCCTGAAGCAACAAGGCATTACCTCTCTGCAGTTTCAGTCCTTGAAGCAAATCAGTGCTGGCAACATCTACATAACAGACAACAGCAATTTGTGCTACTACCACACTGTCAACTGGACCAGCCTCTTCAGCACATCCAGTCAAAAGACAGTGATTCATCGAAATAAAAAGGCAGAGAACTGCAGTAAGTACTGCTGCTCAGTGCAAATCTCCTTGCCTATGATTAGCTCACATGGGGGGAAAATGATACAACTACTGATGGGCTACAGTGTAGTGAGCAGGCCAGAAACTCGGCTGATGTCTCTTGGAGCTCCATGGACATCAGTGGAGCAATGATCATTTACAGGATTTGGCCCAGCCTGCCTCTGAGCAGATTTATAGGCAAATGAAATGTTTTAAGGTATGAACAAATGAAAGGGAGAAGAGAGAGGGCACTGCTTCCTTACTGGGATGTGAACTTTCCAGATTAGAGATCCAGTTTCACAAATATGAATTCTGAACGCCGTAAATGTGGCATGAATGTAGTTGTTCATGGACGGCACTGATCTTACAGATTTGAAAACTACAGCCCTTTCCTTATGGAGTGAGATTAGCATCTTTTGCTTCCCCTACCCTTCTTCACCAAAGTGGCCCTGTCTTAATCCAGAAGGGTGACTTTTGGGACTGTTTTTGATCACTAGGTTTCTCCTTTCAGTACTTGACCTATCTGATAAGGAAGATTACTTTTAATTGGGCCTAATTGTCTTTCAGGAAAGCTTATGTGGCAATACCTGGACTGAGTTAGTTGAGGATTTGTTATAATAGAGACTCATCATTTTCCAGGAAGAAAAATACTCCTAAAGATATTTTATGAAATTTAACACCAAGGGAATTTTCATGAGGAAAACAAATCTCACTCATTTCATTTTAAGAAGTTACAATGTAAGCTACAGTACCAAGGGACTACTTTTAAAAATAGACTCTAACCTATGTTCATTAAATGGACTGTATATAATGAACGTAGGCTAGGGGCCAAGTTACTGCGATCAGAAGACAGTGTCTTAGCTGACTTCCTGAATCCTAACAGGGAACAGTGGTTTTCTCTCTCTATGCACGTCTGTGTGAATGAATTGATTAATGTTTTGTGGCCTTTTGAGAGTCAGCATTAGATGAGAAGAGCAGAGCTATCCTGCTGCTTCAACTCTGCCTGTCAGTCAGCACCTCTCTGGAGTTAAATGGTTTCCGCTGCAGGTTAGATGTCTAACTAAAATTTTCACAATTACTTGGAGTAAGGCGGAACTGTTCCTTAGAGCCAGATGCATTTCTCCAGCATCCTCTGAAACATCGGTGATTTTCAGGATAGGCCAACAAACTGGGGTTTAGGAGAGTTTTCTCTGAATCTTCCACTGCCTGAATGTTTGGGATCTGAGGGCAAGCCTCTGGGGTTTCGATTTCTGCTTTCAGTTATTTTGCCTGTTCTAGACCCTGATCCTGCAGATGCTTGGGCATATGCCTGTGCCTTTCTGAGTGACAAATAAGACTAATCAAAATGGGGGAGGGAAATGCGTAAGTAAATATTTGCAGGATCGGAATCCATCCTCTACGGTGGAAATACTGTCTGCTTGCATGGTAACTTGCGGGGTGTGAATTGTTAACAAAAATATCCATTAAAGATTTTTTTCCTCATGGTTTCCAGTGAAGAAACCAGTCTAGACCATGTTAATTATTACAGTCACTCTCAGGTATGTTTATTATTATTCCTTTGTATATTTTGAGTCACTATCAGCTTGGTTTTGCTTTCCTCACTACCTAGTGATTGTTAATGGCTTAAAGCAAGTTACAGCAAACATTTAATATTCATGTGTAGCTTTTGTTAAAACCCATGTAAGACCTTCCAAGATCTAGTCAGCATCATATTTAAGTGACTTTTAGGATGTATCACAAGATGGTGATATCTTTTCCATGCCTTTTAATGCTGTGTTCAGTTCACCATATAAGTCAGTGAGGAAATATTAAAAAAATTGTTGAGGGAGTAAAATATTTGTTGAAAAGTTCAGTCTATAGCGGTGCTTTATCTTTGAGGTAACACTGACGTTACAGGGTTTGGCAGAACTCTGATTTTTTTTTTTCAATAAGGAAGATAAAGAGAACAGACTTCAGTCAGTGGAAAATGCTACAGAATTATCCAACACACAAAATATACTTTATACTCCTGACACCGTCAATTATTTCGTCTTGCTATTTCTGCCACTTCTTAACAATATTAAAATAGTCACCAAATATTTTACCACCTTCAAGATGGCTTTTCCAAAATCTGGTTAAAAGCCTAGGGCAGGCTTCACTTGTTTGTAGAATGCTGAAAATACAGGAGCAAAACATATGTGTGGTTTTTTAATTTAAAAAAAAAATCCATAAACCCCACAAAGCTCTATTGCTTTGTGTTGACTTTCTAATATTGTCCCATGAGGGCCAGAGGGGGGTGGGTACCTGGAAGGAACATGACCTCTCTCTTCTCCACCTTCCCTACGCACATTCAGGCATAGAAATGTAAGTGTCCAAGCTTGTGTGCGCAGGGAACATAGAAGAAAGTGGCACCTTTGAGGCCGAACACCATGGAAAGGGCGGCAGTATGTGATCATCAGCGAGAGACTTCTGAACTGTGTAGACCCTAAAAGACGCTTAGGCTTCTCCTGTCAGGTTACAGGAGAAGACTTGAGGGCAAGAGACAAGTTGAGGCTTCAACAGCTGTTGCACCTTTAGCACAGTCTGATAGTGTCTCCCAAGGTTGTTGAAGAGTTCAGATGGCAAATGGGCATCTTCAAACTGATAAGCCAAGTGGAAATTAATTGGAGAGCATTTATCCAAAATGCAGTGCATGAAGCTCTCATCTAATGTGGACTTTTAATTGTCTACTACTATAAACTGTAATGTTAAACACAGTTTGTGCATAAAACTTACTTCGTTATGAACATTATTAATGCAGAATGAATTACCATAACGTTATTTGCTAGAGAATGTGCTCTGGTAGTTAGATTTTACTGTTGCTCCATGCTGAAGTGAAGAATCTTTCTTTTTTTCCTAGCATGGGTTTTTTATGGAACAGTCAGAGGTGACTCATGTTAAATATGAGTGCACACAAAATAAATGTAGAAAAAATGTTCTTTTATACACAGTTATTTAAATAATTCCTTTCAGTTTTAGTGACACCTGCAGCGTAGAGTACACAGTTATTTAAATAATTCCTTTCAGTTTAAAGTGACACCTGCAGCGTAGAGTGCAACCTTTCTAGGCAAAGGTTGTTATAAATGTGATTGTTATGAATTATGCCAATTTAGCCACCAATTAAGAACTTGAATAAATGATTACATTCATTATCAGGTGTGATGCAAAGCTAATTGAAGTCTGTGGGAGTTTTTCTGTTGAGTTCACGGAGCTTTGGATCAGGCCCATAAGTGTATAGCCAAATAACAATAATTTTTCTTTTTTTACATAGCTAATTTTCTTGTGTTCTATCTAAGTTGGGGAAAAACATTGAACCTTTCTGCTTCTAACCTGTGCGACCCCATTAATAAAGAATGAACACTTGTTCTAAAACTCCTGATGAAAATGGGTTCCTGTCAAAAGCATTATTGTTCTTTCCTTCCACACATGGCCATGTGATATGCTGGAGCTTCAGAACATTCTCAGCCCATGGAAATGCCAAATAACGTGTCTAAAATGGAAACATTTCTTTAGCTATCCCTATAATTAAAGACGAGGAAGAAAGACAAGCGTAATGGGTTTTTATAAGTTGTCAGAAAAACCACTCCCTTCTTGCCAAGATTCATTTATGAAAACATTTCTATGACTTAGAAATAAGCAGAAGGAAATAGTGATTTTTTTTTTTTTTCTATTGCTTTTTTCATAATCTACAGGCACTGTGTTGGCTAGATTTCAATATGGTAATCATGATTTTCTTTACTGAAAAGCTCTCATTTTATTTGCATAAGGTTACTCAGTATATTTTCTGAGCTATCTTGTCATAGTGTCACTTGCTATTTGAAGGGATATTTTAGTGCAACACTGTGTGCGTGTGTGCGTAAATAAATTCTGATCCCAGAGTAGTTGGGCAGCTGAGAACAGCGAAAAGAAAGGAAATCACTAGTAATAAAAGCACAATTTCAAGTTACCAAAAAAGGTGAGAAAGCAAATAGGAAACTGCCTTTCGATGACGAGAGTGTGTAAAACAAAATCAGAAGAATTACTAGTATTCTTAAGATTGAAAATGAGAACAAAGGGATCTCCAAAGCAGGGTGGTTTGTTTTTTTTTTTTTTTATTTAGTACTTTAAGTGAGTCATTGATTAGAAAATAAAACTATTCATCTAAAAAGTTTGCTTAATTAGAACTGTGAGAGTTTCTGGGTTTGGGTTTTTTCCTTCTTTTTTTTCTTTGCTGATACAGTTTGACCCTGAAGCTGTCTGTTAATCCCAGGTGTCCCTGCGGCAGGCAATGTGAGGCAGGACTCGTATATTTGGTCAGTGTCAGTCACACGTCACCATGAGACTGGATGAGAGCAAGGGAGATTGGCAGACCAGGCATGAAGTGCTGGAGTCTGCTCTGAGGGAGCCCTCAAGTGTGCTCTAAATCCGAAGGCATAATTGGGGTTCCCCCGAAATCACCAGCTGTATCACCCAGAACTTATTTCCTGGGTGCTCTCCTGTAGGCAATGAACATGAAATAAGCCAAAACTGGCCTTTAATACCAAGTCAATGCACCTCCTGAACTGTACTGCACAAAGACAGCATTAGACTGAGATATACTTGAAATGTCTAAAAGTATGTGAAAAAGGAGACTCTGTGGGCTACACATGTAGTATTTGCTAATGCAAAGCTTTCGCCTGGTTCCTTTGATTGCTATGAAGTCAGTGGCAGCATAGTGGAACTACTGACATCTGGTACTTATTATAAAAATGTTTCCACGCTTAAAAAAAGTTAGGGTTAGGGCGATAATGAAAAACTGAATTTTTTATCTTTGCTCATACTAGCTTTGTGTGGTGTGGGTCCTTCGACTGCAGCAGAATGACTCCTGATTT